CAGGAAACAGATTTTTTGCAGCCACTTCTTAGGAAGACATCCTTGGCCAGAGTCCACCCAGCTGTGAGTGTATATAATGAGGTTCAGAGATGATGAACCTCACAGCCCTGCACACTCAGGCAGCTCGAGAAGTGAAGGAGACGCACAGCAGCAGAGATCCTTCATATCTGAGAAGAACAAATCAGTTGAAGACTGAGCCTTCAGTAGATCCTCCACTCAATACTTGAAAAGCTTTAAGATGAAGACAAGTGTTGCCATCCAGTGCATCGTTCTCCTGGCCTGCATGGCCCTTTGCACTTCATTAAGTAAGTGTGTTTTATCAGATTATGGAAAAAATTGGTGTATTTGTGCATCTTGAGTGGAGCTGAATTATGAAAAAAAATCTATTTAAATGTATTTATGTTTAAGTAAAATATGAAACTGCAGCAGTTTAACATTAATTATCACTTTCTACCTTTTCCAGTTATTCCAAGGTGCCGGTGTTTGAAGACCAGTAAGTTTGTAAGAGGTCCCATCACTGAAGTTAAGGTGGATGAGCCTCGTGCATACTGCAACAGGAGAGAAGTCATGTAAGTGCCCACAGTGACAGGAGCACATTATTAATAAGAGCTCAGTCATTAATAAGGATTGTTTATAAAGAGGTTTTATATCAAAGTTTTCTTTACATGTTACAGAGTCACACTGAAGGATGGGAGTGAACGGTGTCTCGATCCTCAGTCTAAATTCACCATAATGCTGCTAGAAAAACTGTAAGTCACACAGATGTTTTTTCTTTCATTCACTGGTGTTCAACTTAATGTGAGTTAAATGTTAGAGAGGAAGTCAGTGAAGTTAAAACAGGAACATCAACAGTCACTTTGGAGCATCGTGCGAGGCTCTGCACATCAGTGATTAAAAATACTGATGGTTTTAGAGTAATAGTTCAAAGCTCAGGATGAAAACTGCTTCTGGGTCACAGGACAAATCTGATGGATGAACAATTAACAAGCTACAATAATTGAATGTCTTTATCGTGTTTTTGCTGGTAAAATTCAGGATCGTCATTCTCATAATTTAGAAGGTGAAGAAGTTAAGAGAGAAATCACTGCTTGAGTGTTATGAGTTATGAATCTGTTCACTATCACTGGAGCTTCAAGGTCTCACGTCTGTGATTTGTTGTCTTCACAGGAGGCAGAAGAAAAGTCAGCATAAGACGACCGTCAGCCCCCAAACAACCACATCATCAGCCACAGTGTCAAACTCATTATGATGCACTTTGCATGTTTATTACTGTTACACAAAAGAAACCAGACATCACTTAATGAGAAGAAGAAGCAGCCAAGATCCGGTGCAGATTTGTCCACCACATCCCACCGTGGTCTATGGGACTGAAATCTGGTGACTCTGGAGGTCATTTACATGCAGTCATCTCACTGTCATGTTCAGGACACCAGCTTGAGTTGTGAGATATGGTTCATTATACTGCAGGAAGTAGCCATCAGAAGATGTGTACACTGTGGTCATAAAGGGATGGACATGGAAACAGTAAACAGTGAACATTGTTCAGCTGTTGGACTGGATACATGTTTAAGTATTTGGGATTTTTTAATTTTTTTTTAATGCACTTATCATCAAGAGTGGCTCCTCTGATTTTAAACCAAAGCTCTCCAAACCAGCTGATATGAGAGATCCACTTGAGCTCGCTTCATAGTTCACCCCTCTGTTTTCCTTCCCTCGAGTGCAGCCTTTGTGTTTTGTGTTTTATTTCATTTCATCGTTGGTCTGTTCTGGATTATTTTTATAACGTGTATATTTTTGGATTCTCAGCGACTGAAATAAAGGATGTTTTCTGTTTGCTTCACTTTCTTGCCTTTGAGTCCAGTATCTGGGTTCTTAACCTTGCACATAGTGACACAATCTCCTCTTTCATATCTAAAACAACCAATTCTGAGATTTTAAGAACACTGAACATTTTGCTCTCTAAAAATGAGGCTTGATCGTCAGTGTTCAGTGTCAACACTGTGAACTGTTTACCATGATAATTTTGCAGTTTGCTTTAAAAATTTAGCTTAAACACGATGCAAGAACATGATACACATGTGTGACTCAAACAGCTTCATCATGAACTCGAAATCACTGAATCTGAATCCTGCATGAAAAGGTGTGTCGGGTTCTGAAGACATAACCATTAATCTTGTAAGAAGTGAGGGGATAAAACATCACTCTTTCACATTTAGCTGGTGAAAACTGTTTTGTGCCAAGACTAAATTTATTAGCCTTGATTTTGTGTTTAAGTCACTGCTTCCTGTAAGTAGTTGAACATGGGAATAATAATAATAATAACACATTTCCAAACTCCAGATGTGAAAAAGTTATCTGAGGTTTGGGAACTGGGAGCTGAGCCTGTCGTGGGTTTCTGCCAGGAGTGAATGAGACCTTTACAGGGGGACCCTCGGTCAAGGTTTAAATCTAAAATACAAACTCTCCAATCAGTTATGTGTTGATACATTTTATTAAGATTATATTTCACCCAACATATATTTTAGATAGCAATAGACAGAAAATAGAAATCTAGAAAACCAGTGGTCATCACATGTACAGTAAAGACATCACTAAAACCATTTAAACGATCACTTTGTGGTGAAACTCTCCTGAAGTAAATGTCGACATCTGGATATTTGGTTCTGAAAATGTTGCACAGATGCTGAACTTTAACTGGAAGCTCTACTTGGATACTTTCCAGCACCATCCTCGAGGGTCACATGCAAATATGTTGATATAGGCTACTGAAGTAAAAAGCTGCGTTTCTCAGCTGCAGAGTTACACTGAAAGGATACATATTTAGGCTAGTTAGTGCCCAGTGACAGATTAATAAAATACTAGAAAATTCATTCAATTCAATTTTATTTACCAGCAAGCACCAAAAACATTGGCAACAAAGTGCTTTATATTGTAATGTAAGAGTAAAGAGAAAACTCCAACAATCAGATAACCACCTATGAGCAAGTACTTGGTGACAGTGGGAAGGAAAAACTCCCTTTTAACAGAAAGAAACCTCTGACAGAAGCAGGCTCAGAGGAGGAAGACAGGACAAAGACACGCTGTGAAAGAGAGCCACAGACTAATAATAACTAGTGACTAAATACAATAAAAAGTGAAGAAGTAGCACTCAGTGCATCATAGAAAGCACCCAGCAGCCTAGACCTCTTGCAGCATAACCAATTGGGCTGGGATTTCTAGAACCGATTCCATTACGATTCAATTTTGATTCAGACAGAAATGTTATAATTCTTCATTTATCAGTACTGACAGTTGTGAGACTTCATCAGAGGTGTAAACATCACAGCAGATGCCATTCTGTCAAAGTAACAGAGGATGAAACACAGAAAAACATGAAGGAAATTTCTTGGCTTGTCTTTTTATAGCAGTTAACCTTAAAAATACTCTGCAGTAGATCAAGTACGGAAGAAAACCATGAACCAACATATGAACATTACCTGATGCTGCTGAAGTGAAGCAGAGCAAAGTTACAGAGGTTTTATTAGAGACACAGCCAAGGGTTTTGCAATTTCTCAGAATTTTAAAAAGTTTACATTTCTCTGGTATTGAACAGCAGAAATTAGATTTTCTTGTAGGAAGTCATTTAAAAAAAACAGCAGGAGACTGCGCTGTAAACAACGGTAGACTGGTGCGTAATACGCAAATCCAAATGTGCAAAACTGATATTCACCACAGTAATGCTGATGTCTGTCACAACACAGTAGATGGATAAGACAAACACATAGGGACTTGTTATTATTTCCAGTGTAGCTGCTAATGTCTGCAAGTGCTGGAATTGAGCATGACTCACACTGATTTCATCACAAGAATAAGATTAGATCTAAAACCCATCTAGCCCAGGGACTAGCTGACTGTGACTGACTTCCCATATCATTCACACAACATCGTCTGGTGTTTTCTCGCTGAGGGCAGGAAACTGAAGGAGAAACAGCCTCACCCACCAGACTGACAAGAGGCTGAACTCGCTCCCCTCTTCACAAAAAAAAGACTGAGTTGTAATAAGCACACACACCAGCACCAGTCCCTTTACTACATTGCTACTGCTACTATTTCATACATTTCATAGGCGTCCAAATAGGCTACATGTCTTCATGCAAGGTATCTGTCAAAATACCTGAATATACCTGTCCAGTGGAAGCACGTTGAAGGAGTGGAGAAGTGAGTGTGAAACATTCTTAATGACGAAGTCTGCCTTGGTTTCTGCTGTAATTGGTGACCTTATTAATCTGAGAATTTCAGTATTTTTAAAAGTAATGGAGACGTTTTTTCTTGCATTCCCACACCCTTACAGATTTACTCATTAACAGATTTACTGCATTTACTAAGTGCAATGATACACGTGCACATCTGCAAACAATGAATAGAAAATGATCTTTTCAGCTGTGTTTAAAGGAACTTCCCATTTTCTTTCTTTTTATCATTTTATTTATTTATTTTATTTATTGGAAAGTGTTCAAACACTTTTATCATAAAGAGAAGTGTAAGTAAACTTTAAGCAGAGTGCATCAGAAACAGTAAAATATTAGGCAAATCATATCATAATTTGAGCTGTCTAAATTATTAATATTAGACTGATCATATAAAGACTTTATTGCATTTCACCTCTGTAAGTAGATCAGAGATACAAAATATCCTTTGTCAGCAAAACTCACATGTGAGTGATTGGAGTGAGTCCAAAATGAGTGAACTGTGACATCAATTTCAACAGATACAAACGACACCTGAAGGCAGGCATGTCTCAACATCAACCAGTGGCACAGGAAATCTTTGCAAGTAAGTGAACGTATAAAGTTTAAATGCCAAAGGATTGCGACAGCAGGATTTCCACTGTGGGAGGACAGACATCGGAAAGTATTTTTTTCAGCCACTTCTTAGGAAGACATCCTTGGCCAGAGTCCACGTACCTGTGAGTGTATATAAGGAGGTTCAGAGATGATGAACCTCACAGCCCTGCACACTCAGGCAGCTCGAGAAGTGAAGGAGACGCACAGCAGCAGAGATCCTTCATATCTGAGAAGAACAAACCAGTTGAAGACTGAGCCTTCAGTAGATCCTCCACTAGATACTTGAAAAGCTTTAAGATGAAGACAAGTGTTGCCATCCAGTGCATCGTTCTCCTGGCCTGCATGGCCCTTTGCACTTCATTAAGTAAGTGTGTTTTATCAGATTATGGAAAACTTTGGTGTATTTTTGCATCTTGAGAGGAGCTAAATCATGACAATGAATCAATCTAAATATATTTATGTTTAAGTAAAATATGAAACTGCAGCAGTTTAACATTAATTATCACATTCTATGTTTTCCAGTTGTTCCAAGGTGCCGGTGTTTGAAGACCAGTAAGTCTGTAAGAGGTCCCATCACTGAAGTTAAGGTGGATGAGCCTCGTCAATACTGCAACAGGAGAGAAGTCATGTAAGTGCCCACAGTGACAGGAGCACATTATTAATAAGAGCTCAGTCATTAATAAGGATTGTTTATAAAGTGGTTTTAAATCAAAGCTTTCTTTACATGTTACAGAGTCACACTGAAGGATGGGAGTGAACGGTGTCTCGATCCTCAGTCAAAATTCATCATAATGCTGCTAGAAAAACTGTAAGTCACACAAATGTTTTTTCTTTCATTCACTGGTGTTCAACTTAATGTGAGTTAAATGTTATAGAGGAAGTCAGTGAAGTTAAAACAGGAACATCAACAGTCACTTTGGGAGCATCAGAGTGAGGCTCTGCACATCAGTGATTAAAAATACTGATGGTTTTACAGAAGCAGTTTTTTTCAAATCAAGATCCTTTTGTTATTCAGAAAGTAAATAAGACAAAAAAGTTGGTTGATTTTGTTGTTAAAGCTTTAAAAGTTGTGATTTTTTTTGCAACCCAGCCTCATCTCTCTGATATGTTGTTTTCACAGGAATCAGATGAAAAATACGACAGTCAGCCCTCAAACAACGACAGCATCGGCTGCAGTGCCAGAATCATCATGATGCACTTTGCATGTTTAGTGCTGTTACAACATGTGTGGATTAAGAAGAAGGAGCAGCACAGCTCTCGTTCTCATCACAAAATATAAATGCATTTAATTCCTCAGCCTGTCTTCAGGCTTAAGTTGTGATTACTAAGCATATGCACATTTATATATCTGCATCTATATATATTTATTTTTGTAAAGTATGTAACACAAACATTAATTTATTTGTGCTATTTTAACATTTTCACAGGTGAATTTAATGTACATTTGTACCATGTTTGTCTCTTTGATTCTGAAATGTACAACAGTGACTCCAAAACCGACTCAATAAATCTCTAAGTTGTTGAATAAGTTACATCTTTTCACTTTATTATAACGACTAATTAATGTTTTAATTGTAAGGAGCCAGAGGAAATATTAGACAAACAGGAACATACAAAGAGGGAAAGGTGCAACCAGCACAACAACAACATAAAATAAAATTAAATAAAAAAACGAAACAAATTGAATGAAACATTGCCTTTAAAATCTCAAAAGTAAGCAGCTGCTTCAGTTTAAACAGGACTTTTTTGAAATTACCAACACAAGAGTGCTGCGTCTTTGATAGAGTTTCTAGCAGGATAACACAGTATGTGTTATCCTGCACACACCCAATTACACCACCAGCAGCCTGGTTTAGGGATCACACAATAATCTTTGTAAATACTCTTTACCAAAAAGGGAAATGTTTTCTTAATGACATTTTTAGTTACCAGGTATTACCAATTACGAGGTATTCCTAACAAAAAAGCAGAAAACTGTTTACATATTTAATGCAGGACATAGGATCTGATTATCTTATGATTATCATATCAAGAGTTGTTCATATTGCTCCAGGAGTATAGAAGTCACATGGTCTAATGTCCAGGGCTTTTATTGTGAAAGATAAGCAGAAGCAGAAGTGTTACCTGCACACTTTGCCCAAAGAAATGTTTGAAATTATAAATAATTTACAAAATTCTTCATATCATTTACAAATCCATCAGTATCTGTCCGACCTGCTGCACCCATACACACAGTGTCAGGTGCTACGGTCCTCAGCCATGGGTCTGCTTTCTGTCAGTCACACCAACCTCCAAAGCTTTTAGTGTTTCATCTCCACCCTCTGGAGTCATCTCAACTATTAGTAGTAATAATAGTAGTAGTAGTATTGTGGTGGGGCGTGGTCTGTGGCGCGGCTGCGGGGCCACCTGAGCGGCACCCGCAATCACGCCTCGCCAGCTTAAAACAGACTGAACTGGGTCCTGGCTGTTGTTGGTGGTGTATGGGCGGCTGGGAGCTGGAAAGCTGCAGATGTGAGTATTGCTGTGAACAGCAACCGCAACGAAGAAAAGTGTTAACAAGTGCTGAAAAGTGCAAACATGAGGTCGGGTCTGTTGTGCATTATTGTTGTTAGTAGTAGTATCAGTAGTACCAGCTTACAGCGTGGGCCAAATTGGTGAACAACCAAACGAGAAATTTAAATAAAAACTAAGAATATAAAATTACTCTTAAACAGACTGAACTTTAGACAGAAACAGCACTACAGCTGAATAACAGAAGTGGTTGATGGGGATTAGTTTAAAATAGGCTGGAGTGCTCTGAAGCAGCTGTCCAATTAAAGTGACCAGGATATGTTCTTCAATGCACATATTAAACAAATATGTAGGACCGCTTTCTTCCATTTGTGTAGCATCTCTAAAATTTGAAATATCCTGTCTCAGAGTGATGCTGAAAAACTAGTTCATGCATTTATTACTTCTAGGCTGCCCGACTATAATTCATTATTATCAGGATGTCCTTCTGTTAATCCAAAATGTTGCAGCAAGAGCACTGACAGGGGCTAGACAGAGGGAGCATATTTCTCCTATGTTGGCTTGGAGTCAGGAGGCAGACATTGTCTCTACTTTTAGGATTAAGCTTAAAACTTTCCTTTTTGATAAAGCATAGTTAGGGCTGTACAGGTCGCTCTAAATCCTCTCACTCATGCTGCAATAGGTCTTGGCTGCTGGGGAATTCCCATGATGCATTGAGTGTTTCTTTATCAGTCACCTTTCTCAGTCACTGTGTTATACACCTCTCTGCATATAATTATTAGTTATTATTAATCTCTGGCTCTCTTCCACGGCATATCTTTTGTCCCCTCTTCCTCCCCTCACACCAGCCGGTTGAGGCAGATTGCCGCTCCTCCATGAGCCACAGTGCTTGCTCATGTGGGGGTCATATGATTATCAGGGTTTTTCTCTGCTTTCTTTGTATTATTATAGGGTCTTTACCTTACAGTATAAAGGAAACTATTGTTGTGATTTGGCACCGTATAAATAAAATTGAATTAGACTGATTATTTTCAGTAGTGACAGAGACTTTTTTTTCTTGCATTCTCAATTCCTGTTGTGAGTTTTAGTTTCCCTCTTAATAGTGGTGAATTTTCAAAAACAGTTCAATGAGTCACAGGTATGCAGCTGTTAAAACTGTCCTGTCTTTTAGCCTCCTCAGAGCCTCCTTAGATATGATCTATACATTAAATATGCATGAAAGAAACAAATCTCCATCCATACAAACAACGGATTTTAAGCTACACTGAACCTCTCAGAGAATTTTTATCTCTTACAAAAATATCTATGGTTTTAGAGCAGCAGTTCAAAGCTGAGGGTAAAGACGTATGACTTGATCTGTTCACTACCACTGGAGCAAAGTCTCATCTCTGTGATATGTTGTGTGTAATTCATCTAACATTTAAAGGGTTTGTAAACAATGGATACAGCATGTTTATGTACCATGTTTATTTTTAATGCTGGAAAATCCCTCTGGAGGTAGTTTTTAAAATGTTATATCTTTTCACTTTATTATAACTCACCAGTTTACCACCACTTTATACACAGTCAACAAAAAGAGAACAAAAACAAACAAAACAAAAAAAGAGGGTGAATCCAAAAATCCCAAAGTTTGCCATTAAACCTGGTTTCACTTCAAACTATAAGCATCAACTCAAAAAAAAATTTCCAAGTCATTTAACTGCTTTGCTTTTATCTCTGATGTAACGGTAACTCAATCACATATTAACAGCTACTCCAGTTTAAACAAGATATTCTTGCTATTACTGAGGCAGGAATGCAGAGAATTTTATTTTAACAGATTTTCTGTCTTCCTCAGTACTTCCTCTCTTGGATAATTAAAAGCTTATCCTATGAAAGAGACTGATTCATGAGCAGTGATGTGTTACAGCATCACCGAGAGTAGATCAACAAAGCAGATGTAAGCATGTGCAAAACCACAGTGTCATGCGGCGGCTGTGTGAAGGCAAGAGAGGACCCAAATGCACAGCTCTAGACACACAGGGATGAACTCAAAGGCAGGTCTTTATTAACAGGAACATAAGAAGTCATACAAAAACTATACTGGGAGCAACTAAAGCTGAGGCGCTGGGAAGACACGGTAAATGCACACAACCTAGAGGGACGACGCAACACAGAACAAAGGGACACTCTGACATAAATACACAGAAGGTAACGAGGGAAGTGGGAACACACGGGGAACACAGCTGAAGACAATTACTCATGACCGGGCAGGGAGGACACGAAACTGAAAATACTGACACCAAGATGTGGACCTTAAACACAACACAGTACATAGAGAAGAGCACAGAGAGAGAGGCAGAGAACAAGGATGAATACACGAGGGGATGAGGAGAACACAGAACACAAAGGACGGGAACACGGTACCAGAACAAACACCAAAATAACAGCATGGATAAAGGGGGGATCCAAATACCAAACCAAACAATCCAATGAACATAAGGAACGAAATACAAAACCACAGGAAAACTAAGAACACTGGGTCAAAATGACCCAGGACCATGACACACAGCTGCGCTTCAAAAAGAAAAGGTTTCTTTCCAGTGTTTTATAAAAATCATTGTCAGCCCACATTTGTACAAATTACAGATCAAGATCAGCTTTATGTAGGACAGCGGTCCCCAACCCCCGGACCTCGGACCGGTACCGGTCCGTGAGTCGTTTGTTACCGGGCCGCGAGAATTGAGGCTCAGGTGTGAAATGTATGGTTTTCAGGGTTTTTATCGGTTTTCAGCATTATTTTGTTATCGTTTTTATCGTTAACTCTGTTTTCCTGGGTCTTTTCACGTGTGTTATGAATAAATCTTCTTTTTTTCGGTACCGGTACTAGTTTTATTTTTGTTGTATTTATCCGTGACACCTTAAAGGCCGGTCCGTGAAAATATTGTCGGGCATAAACCGGTCCGTGGCGCAAAAAAGGTTGGAGACCGCTTATGTAGGACACTCACTGGCCATTTTATTAGGTACACCTCTCTAATACTGAGCTGCGCCCACTCTTGCTTTGGACTTCCTGTTTCCTTCATATCAGCTTGTAGCACTCTGGTCGTTTTCTGGCATCAGAACTCCCGCTCACTGGAAATGTATTATTTTTCTGACCATTCCCTGTTAACCATAGAGGTGGTTGCGCGGGAAAATCCCAGTAAATAAATGGTTTCTAAAATTCTCAGACCAGTCTGGGACCAACAACCATCCCACATTCAAAGTAACTTAAATCATATTTTCGTCTCTATTCTGATCCTTATTATGATGATAATTCTTTTCATTTCTGCAGTAACGTTTTCTTTCTCTTCTTTTCTCTTTCCATTAAAGTCAGTTTCTTGTTTTGCACCACACTCAGTTTTCTCTTGTCAACACAAATCTGTAAATAGGTTTATAAAGAAATCCTTCCCCACCTCTCTGGTGGGGAAGGAGCCTGAGTTAGTGCGTGAGGTTGAGAGGTACCGGCTAGATATAGTCGGGCTCACCTCCACACATGGCTTGGGCTCTGGAACCAGTCTCCTGGAGAGGGGCTGGACTCTGTCTCAGTCTGGAGTTGCCCCTGGTGAGAGGCGGCGGGCTGGGTGGGTATTCTAATATCCCCTCGGCTTGCTGCCGGTACGTTGGGGTTTTTCCCGGTGGACGAGAGGGTTTGTTCCCTGCGCCTTAGGGTCGGGGAACGGGTCCTGACTGTCATCTGCGCTTATGCGCCAAGTGGCAGTTCAGAGTACCCAGCCTTCTTAGAGTCCCTGGGGGGGATGCTGGAGGGTGCTCCACCTGGAGACTCTGTTGTCCTGCTGGGAGACTTCAATGCTCACGTGGGTAACGACAGCGAGACCTGGAGGGGCGTGATTGGGAGGAACGGCCTCCCTGATCTGAACCCGAGCGGTGCTTTGTTATTGGACTTCTGTGCTAATCACAGTTTGGCCATAACGAACACCCTGTTCGAACATAAGAGTGTCCATAAG